AGGTAGCACACCTACATTAAAACTTAGGTCACAAGACAGTTATGTGCGTTACTATAAAAACAAAAGATTCGTAGTCTTGAGATTATAAGTCAATCAATCTGCTAAAGCCCTGATGGAAACAATGTTGCAGTTTATTGAGCGCGAGCATGGCGTAGCAAACAACGCACTGGTCTGTTATACTAGAGATTCCAGGTTCAATCCTCGATAGAACCAACAATTTTCGTACACGCTCATAGCTCTTCTTGGAAGGCAATTGCAAATCGAGTAGTATATTTGCCCTGGAAACTTCTCTACCAATTCGTCGTTCGGAATCAACTGTAGATCCTATATGACTGTATACAACCAGCGTGTATACCACAACCACAGGCATGTGAGAGAAGTTACCATGAGTCAATAGGACTAAGAAGATATTACAGTTATCGTTTAAATAAAAGTCATGTACTTCTACATTCTAAATCATCACAAATTGTTCAGTCGCTGAATTTTTTAACTTCAACTTCGATTCAATACAATCGTCTACAGAAACATAAGTACACCAATAATACTCTCATGTCCCACTATCCCCACACAATCTCAATCATATGCATGAGACTAACTGGATGCGCTTATACACGTATATCCGACTATATATCAAACCGTCGCTTCGCATAATACAGTTCTTTAAGAGAAATCAGTCGCAAAGGAAAGTCTAATGTTGATTTTTGCAAAAATCAGTCATTTACTTATTTATTCACTTGCAATTATTAATTTTCACCTGAGTCATTCGGTCTCATTGCAGCTGCTGGGTATTTTAATCGACTAGTCACGTGTTTTCCGCTGTTGCTCTGTCTTTTACTGCCTCAATTATTTCGTCATAGCGTGCACGACATCATCGCTGCACTTGTGATAATTCTGATGAGACTATTACATAACCTCATACAATCGCTTCTTCTACGCCTATTTTATGCGTTTGTCGTAAGCCTTCTTCCCGAAGCTCACACTATGGGCGAAACGGACTGTTGTGTGACCAGTCAATTAGTTAGGGACTTCAACGATATGCTTTTGCCCTCTCCGCCCAAGCAAAGAGGTCCACGCTAGGTATCGCCTCAAAGTCTGTGCAGCGTCTCAATTCGTTTCTGAAGTATTACAGAAGCGATATTGAATTAAGCAATAAATATTGATTTAAGTAATAAATATTGTATATTTCATTAGTTAAGTTATGCCACAGAATTTCGAACTTACCCTGCCTGCGGCTTGAGAAACACATTCAGCTGCATATGCGTGATGTTATTGCCATTGTCGCAGAATATCCGTGCCAAGGTGACGTTACGTAGTTGAACCAATTGCTCTAGGAAAAAAAGATAATCGACCAAACTTGAAAAATTTTTCTATAAATAAATTGGTAAAAAAATTTTTATATACAATAATATTTTTTAAAAATAATTGTATTTTATTTTATATTTACAAAGATTTCTAAAATAATAAATTTTAAAAGAATATACTTTAAAATTTTTTTAGATTTTTTTTTAGACATTTATAAAATGAAAAATTTTTTAAATCTTAAATTATTATTCGCATATAATAATATAAAAAATTTTAGAAAAATGTGGACTCTTTTTCAGCACTTCTAAAAAATATTTTAATTTGTATAGAGAATCTGAGAAATTTTCTAAAATGTTATAAAAATATAAAACTTCTGAAAAATTATATAAGAATTTCTATCAGGATAAATTTTGACCGAGTAAAAGTTTTACCAGAGCAAGATACGTACGATTTGAAACATTAAACAAATATAAATGATATTAATAATATGAAACAATTGGAAACGAGACCGATAAATGATATTAGGCATACCAGACGTGAAGGGATGCGGTTGCGTCGCTGAATCGTAAAAAAACCTATCAGTACGTCGTGATCTAGAAAATTGCTCGTAAATAAGACAACGGAAGGTCGGGCCGATCATGCCGTCGTCTGCTGGTCTTTCTGCCATACCACCCACGATAAGATCGACGTCACTGGGATGGGAATAGATTGTGCGAAGTTTCCTCATCATCTAATAACCAAATGATATAATCACATATTGATAATCATAAGAATATCAAAAGGAGCGATTTGTTTCAATTTTACCTCCATAGGAATGTAGTCCAGGAAATCATCAAAAGTCCTAGCAGCAGGAAGTCCACAGTATCTACGATAATAATTGTAACCGGGGAGACCATGATCACGACCACGTGCTATGTCCAAACTAATGGCGTCCAAACCTAAATTGTTTACATCGCTGGCATACAATTTGCTTGTCATCTGTAATGTAAAGATAACACAATATTATAAAAATTTTTCCTAGTCATCAAACAAACGTTTTTATACTCTGAGAAAAAGACAGTACAAATATCAAGTTGACAATTACGCAAGTTTTATATGTAAATTTGATATGCAGGGTATTCAGTAAGTTTATTGACAATGCGCTGCTGGCTAGCCAGCATCGATTTCAAAGCAAAATATCTATGATCACAAAGCAATACTCTATATTTGGTGAGATATGGAGGATGTCATGTATTACGAGCTGTTGAAACCAAACGAAACAACCACTGCTTAACATTACCGACAATAATTGAAACGTTTAAATGATAATTTAATGCAAAAATGACGATGATCAATTGTTTCAAATCGCCGGGTGAATCAAAAAATGATTCTTCTTCATGATAACACTCGACTCTATGTTGCTATAACCATAAAAATTATAATTATAATGTAATTATATAATTATAATTCTATATAATGCTGTTTCATTCTTATACATCAGGTATTTTTTGTATAAGGTTATATAATTAAATAATTTTTTACTAGGAAATTGTTTATTTCATTACCAGAAAGAAACCTAAGAGAGAACATGAAACCTTTTTCCCGTAACACAAAATGCTTTCATGCATTACTGTCTCTGCAGAAATAGATGTAAACTACACAGCAATATTTTTTTATGGTGCTCCTGATGGAAATAAACGCTGAAATTATTGAAATTTCTATTAATTTTATTTAGATTTGTTATTTTAGTGATTTACTTCTATCACCGTAAAAACATGAATATCGTGTGTAATTTATATCCACTTTTACAGAGAGCAGTAGTGCGCGATGGCATTTTACCGTTACAGAAAATTACAGAAAAAAGGCTTTCACGTCGTCTCTCAGGTTTCTTTCTGCAATTACGCGCGTATATTAATTCTACATATAAAATTTGTAGAATTAGTTGCTACCAATGTGTTTTTCTCTAATTGTAAGTGTAAACAAGAGGAAAAGTATTTATTACTATACTTACATCTGAAATGAGACTAATGTCCATCTTCTGACTAGTTTGAGTAGCAAGACCACGGAGCAATCCATCAAACACCTCCTCCGATTCGATTATGCGCGGATTAAAGAAATGCTCCGCTAGCTGTAGTGTTTTATTCTGTTGGCGAAAATTATCCGGCATACTAAAACAAAAAAATTACGCATATTTCGTTATATTTGCGCTTTATAAATAATTTATAAATAAATAGAATTTATTTTCGGCGTGTGGTAGCGCTTACCTTAGTTTTTCCTGCATCAGTGAATTCAGAAAACGTAATGCTGCAGTGGCAGCTTCGTTGCTGACCGCCGGTTCGTCATCAGAATTGTAGTTATGACTGTAACTATTTCCTATGAGACCGATAGCTCGAGTGTACCTTCTGCCCAGAAGAATGGGCAACCACTCTTTGTATGTGATATGTTGAATCTCAGCGATTACAATACGCCTGGCCTCTTGGAATAAAATCTCATCCGACCATTCCGGATTCAACCTGGCAAGTTTGTCGACGACACGATTATGCTCACGATGCCAAACCGTATGAATCGCAGCTAACTGAGGATGAACGTTCACACGATCGTCACCTGCTCAACACATAGTTGTTAAAATGTTGTAAAACTTTTTATGAAAAATATATATATATATATATAT